AAACATCCATTCATGTTATTAAAAAATACATAATAAAAAGACATCCTACATATACACTAATAAGATTTTCATAAAAGAAATGGGCCTGAAAATACTTTGAAATCTTTGTAAACTTTTCTAGCATTTATGAAAGACATAAAAGATTAATTTACTATCTTCCCTTTTAAACTTTATTCTATTTTTTAAGTGTCCTTGCAATACTCGGGGGACATTTGGGGATGAGGGCTGAAATATGTACTTTAGGTATTTTTTTATAGACAATAGATGTGGTCAAGATCATTATAATCAGAGAATTAAGCAGACAGACTTGAATTTTTATCACAATTGCACACAGAATAAAGCTTAAGTAGGAGGTAAAGTGCTGCATACACAAAGCACAAAATACAGTCTAATCAATATTTCACAGGCTTAGGTTATTTCAACTTGGTTCTTACATGCAACTTCATGAAAGTCTAAGATAAAATAAAGTATGTCCTAAACGGTTTCTTTTCCCTAAGACAAAACTAATCAAAATTTTAAAATCTCTTAATCACTAGACATTTTTACATTGCCAGAAAAGAAAAAGAGAAATTATTAATTTTTAAAATTACCCAGCAATTCCATTGCATCATCTTCATTATCAATGTCTTCCTCTGTTACAGACGGGGTGGGGCTGTGGACGGACTCAAAAGAATCTTGAGAGAGCATCGCTGCCAGGAGCTTCTTATGTTGCTGTTGCTGCTGTTTTAATCCTTTAGTCTTAGGCTCCATTTTTAAGCTGAAGAAATATTTAAATGTCAATTAGCTATGATAAGTAAAGAAAATCTACCAACAGATTTTCATTCAGTTATTTTGTTATGCAAGTTTATAGACACATTCCTAGAGTTTCCCCCAAAGATAATGGAGAATAGAGTCTTTCTCAGACACCATTTGGTACCTCACTAACCAATTCCCAAGTAGGTATGGCAGAGCTGAAAACTCCTCTCCATTGAAGACAGGAGGTGCTAATCCACTCCTGCCAAATGTTGCCACTGGGAATTAAAACCCACTGTTAATGGATTTTCTGATTTTTTAAGAGGAGCTAGAAAATAGAAAGTTCGGATTATTAGCTCCTGATTTACAAAGCAAATGCGTGTCAAGCAAAACACATGTAATGGGATAAATATTTTAACTACTACACTAAGATTTTATTAATAAAAATATCCAACTTTAATTTCCTTTGCATGTATATACAGTTGTTGCAGCACCATCTGTTCAAAAGACTCTTCTCTCCCCTGTTGAATTGTCTTCCTGTATTTATAGTGCTTTTGAGTCTCTTTGTATACGTTTCCTAGTGACTGTTTTTTTGTGTTACAATGTACATATGGCATAGTACAGTCAGTAGACAGCTGTACTAGTGTCAACATTTACCACTTTGAGTGAAGCATGGACACCTTACTTTCGTTTCAGTACCTTTACCTTCCCTACTTTTAAATATTATTATTTTGAGTATCAGATGGAATTACAATTTTTGTTTTAATAAGAAAATAACATTTCTAAAGTTCATAAGGATAGTCCATTGTATACACCTATATTTCTGCTCTTTCCATTTTCCTTTCTTCCTTCCTGATATTCCAAGATTCTGTCTTTTATCACTTCCTTTCTGTTTGAAGAACTTCCTTCATTCACTCTTTAAGGGTACACCTGTTAGCAACCCATTCTTCCAGTTTTCATTTAAAAATGTCTTTATTACCCCTTCTTTCCAGAAATGTAGCTTCACTAGGTATAAAATTTGTGGTTGACAATTCGTTTCCTTCGACAATTCTTTCTGACTTCCACATTTTCAGGTGAGAAATCCACAGTCATTTGAATTGATGTTTGAATTGAGATAATTTGTCATTCACCGCAGGCTAATTTCAAGATTTCTTCTTTGCTGTTAGTTTCCAGAAATTTATTTATGATACGCCTTGGAGTGAAATTCCTTGGGTTTATCCTGTGTGGGGTTTAATCAACTTCTTAAATCTGTAGGTTATATCTTACACCAAATTTGGGGAGTTTCCAAATGCTATTCCTTCTAATTATTATTCAACCCACTCACTTTTTTCCCTCTCTTCCTGGGACTCCAGTGATAAGAATGTCAGATCTTTTGTTATTCCCCTGCAGGTCCCTGAGGCTGTGTCCTATGTTTTTCAGTCTATTTTCTTTCTGTTGTTGAGAAGGGGTAAGTTCTATGGATCTGTCCTTACATGCAATGATTGTATCCTCTGACATTTCTATTTTACTACTGAGTTCATCCAACACGTTTTGTTTTTTTT